TTCAACTTTATCTTTGATAATTGCACCAATGTTTTCTGCTGGGTTCATATCAGGACTATTGCCGGGCCAAATCGAATTTACTCAGAACTTTACCCCTCATCTTCCACAAGACGCTGTGTTGCATTGGCCTTCATACAAGGTGCCTTATCATGAAGAAATACAACTTTATTTGTGTCAAGAACATTGATTGGATCCAGAAGAAATGGACTTACATGTTGTTGCAGAATAATTCCACGAAAATAGGCTCCATCCCAAGATTGTTCATGTTCCTTCAAAACCCAAAGAAGTTTCTTTGCAGTAAGCATAATAAAAACTCCGATGCATCTCCCATCCTGAACCATTTCACGATACCTTTCATCGATGCTGATATCTTCGATATTATTTGCCCAAATTCTGTCATTTTGGTGGTATGGTTTTCTTACCACATAAATATAAAATTCATCCGAAAGTGCGGCATGCAGAAAATCCTCTTCAGTCCAATCAGCAACAAAATTTGCGAGCCATTTGCGATCTTCAATATGCGTATTTGTCTTCAATGGCTTTGTGATCACATGGAAAGGTTTTAATCCTTGTCGATGGCGTTCATGATGAACAGTCACATGACTCACTCGCTATCCTGTTTTCTCCAAAATTTCTCTTGCAACCTTTCGAGAGCCACTTCCCCTAACACCACTTACAGAAGTAATAATGTTTTTGGTCTCCTGGGAGAGTACCTGAGGTCAACCACGTCCGAATTGTGTATAACACTACTCGGTTGTTTTATTCCAATGTCGCCTAACCCAATCTTCGCTGCGGCGGGGTTTTCGGAAATCCATTGACGAGTGATAAATGAGTTTCCTGTTGTTGCCATCATTTCATCACGTATTTCACGATATGTGATGCAACGAATTCTGTCCACAAATCGTTGCTCTTCAGAATCATGAAGAAGACTAGCCATTGTGATTCAATAAATTGATGTGTCACAGGCTTGTTTTTATTTTAATAATATTTAATTCAACTTTTAATGCTATTGAAACAGTTAGTTGCACGAACAACAAACACACAGTAAAGGAAAGAAACGAAAAAACTTGAAATAGTGCTTACGATTATTCATTCTCTTTTCTCTACATTCTTCTGTTATCTGTCCATGCGTTATGCACACATAACCTGCTGCTCATCCTTTTCTCTGTTTCTCCTCCTCGTTATTAGTCATGGATACTGAGTCATTTTCGATTAACAACAAACGCGTTATCCAGTTCGTGCATGTGTTTCGTAACAGTCGAACATAATAATTGCGAACAAGAACTATATCAAGTAGGTAAGACTCAACTGTAACAGAATACATATTTAATACTATTTCAAACGGATGTAAACTACAATCCATCAACAAGTAATTAATGCGTGAAGAAAGAGGCGTAATAGTTTTTTCCTAGACTCGAAATTGTATAATTTACGACATTTTGATATGTGGTCCAAGGCATTTTGATAATTGCCTAGCTACTATTTACTCTAATTACACCCTTAGACGCAGTTTTTGGCGGGCTTTAATCTGGTATAAAATAGTTGATTATATCATTGATTCATTAGGTTGTTAAGAGGGGTGGGTGGGCGTAAAGGCTTTTTAACATCCTCTAGGTGCAACCCAATAGTTAAAACCATGCATCTGTATGCGAATACCTATGAAACCTTTGATATAATGGTATAGTCATAAGGATATAGTGATAAGGCTGCAATCATATGAGAATAAGACTGGGTTATTGGTGTAATGTATAAGCGTGCGGATGTAGATGTAAGAGTATAGGTCTAGGACATGAACATATTGATATAGACTGTAGGGTACAAGTTTAAGAATATATGTCTAAGTTCACATGTGTAAGGGATACACATGCGTGTAGATTATGAATAAATGTTAATGTGTACTGTTGTGTTCGTCGAAAACACAACTGTTTTACGGTACATCTGTCACGGCAAACAATGTACATATTTTGTCGTACACAGCATGGTGTCATATGACCGTAATAATGTGCTTACCAAAACGCAAGTTTGTGGCCGTACGTGTGATGTTTACGCGCGTTTACATCATGGTAACCGAACGTTTAAGGTTGTTTACCATCGTCGTAATGATGGATCTGGAATATCTTCCATGCACTGCTGGTACTTTTGAGTGTAGTTGTCTACTGTTGTGCACTAACTTTCAAAATCAAGTTACACGTTAACTAAACTGAAGGACACTGAAGTTCTGCTTACCGCGTGTTTTTCAATAGCTTTTCTACCAGATCTCCGAGTGGGATGGAATGGAATGAAAAAAATCGTCCTATGGGATGGACTATTGTGAACGTATATTCGAAAAAATTATTCTACGTGGGACGGGATGAAACGGAAAGTATTTCGCCCTATGCCAACCCATCGCATATATCACATAGGACTCCACACTCGTCAAATATCTTACAGAAAGATTCTGAACACATCTATCGTTTCCATTCATACTACCAAATTTTACATTATTTCATTTTGTTTTTCATAATTTTGTTATAACCAAGTTTATATTTCTTTCACTTATCTTCATAATGAAATAACACATGTCATTCTCTCTACGGATATAAACTGTTTCTAATTTCATTTGACTTTCATCATCATCTACCGAAGGAGACCTTTTTCTTGTACTCGAAGATAACTTTTGAGCAGAACTATGTGCATTGAGTACTTGTGGACCAGAACTCGATGTAAATGCATACCACTGATAACATGATTAAAAACTGGCAAAGCCTCGAATTGGTTCAACTTCTTTTTTTATACTAGATATCTTGACTGGAAAATCAGAAATTTACCAACGAACCAGAAATAATTTATTCTTCGTGTGTTTAATGACTTGTTGGGTCCATGGATCTCTTTCTAATCAGCAAGTAATTCGTTCAGTTGTAAACTCATGAACAACTGGTGGAGAATCAACAATAAAAGGTAAGGAAAAAGTGGTGATAGAAGAAGATGAAGCAGTGCTCAAACTTATTGATTCAATTTGATTAGATCGGCATTGAATAACAGACGACGAATTATCTGAAGACATGCTATCGATTGTAAGTAAAAGCAAAATCAAATCACTTGTTACTATTACAATAGATCCAGCTACATCGTTACTTTATGTGTTGACTCATTATTACTTGTTTTACCGAATCCTCATGGTTTCAGTGCTTAACCACTTACAGAGTAAGAAAACAAACTTTTTTTCATTTGTTTTATTCGAATAGTCAAGAAAGATATCTATGTCGAAACAATTGTATTGTTCTTAATAAAATTCTGTAAAAGACGATTGTCCCATGGAATCTCATGTAAAATGTGTTGCATCTCATGCGATAGGATAAGATATTTCTCCAAATATTTTTCGTCCCATGGGATTGGATGGGATCGTCCCATATCATGCAAAGTCCTGTTATCTATGATTACGATGAATCGGTAGACTTGACTGAGAATGATCGATCTTGCTTAGAATCTTCACAAAGTATAGGTTGGCTTAACTTCTAGTGATTTTGTTTTTGACTGTGACAAGTTTTATATACTTCCAAGTCATGTTCTCGTGGTGAAACTATTAAAGAAACTATTCTGCGATATAATGTATCTATTGTTATAACTCATTCTCTGAACCCTTATACATTTTTTTCTGACTAGTTGCATACACGGCACAAAATGTGTAGGAATACAAACGCGCACAGGTTGCATATTAAATATCATAATCAATAGATAAATTTGTAAATGCAGTAGAGAAGTTGATCATGCCATATCAATCTTCAAATAACTACTGTATCAAATACTGTGATTGTTGTTGAATTTGGAGTGGTAATCGAGACCTTGTGCAAAAACTTTATCTAATATTACTATTATAAATAAGATTAGCGTATTACTAAAGCTTGATATGATGCTTGTTTGAAGCAAACATTCCGTTGTTCAGAAGCTACGGTGACACTAAAAACCTCTGTATAATTGCAACTTTAATAAAATTTGTTTTCTATAGATTGTTTCACTGTATCCGATAATAAATTTGAGGAATGATCCTTATTTCGACAAACAGAAACAGAAAGTTCGTGAGAGTGATCTATTTCTTCTATTTTACTAGTCGCCATTCAGAAAGATCATGGGAGCTCTATGACTACTTGATCATCAGATTCATTGTCGTTACTTACATGTAAAGCGATAAATAAAAACACATTTTACGAATAGCATCGCAAACTTTAGATCATTCAAGCATCATAGGAAAAGGAGAAATCGAAACAATTATGAAAGAAACATTATATAAGGATTTGTAGAAAATACAAAACGACAAACCTTATCATATAAAAGCTTATTTGCTTAGGTTTAACAACTCAATAAGTTCTATAAATCAACTTTTCGTTTGAGTTATTCGAATTTCCCTAACTATTAATGATGATAATTCATTGTTGCCCAGAGAAATTTTTGTGAGATACCAAAATTTCTCAATGTAACGAGTGGCACAGAATAAATGGTGATCGCAGTACTATCCGTTCATCATCCTTTCTCATAATTTTGAACTAATTTTTTTTAAAGAAAGGGCCAGCTTTCAATTTTCTGGAAAACATGTTTTGATCAATGTAAGTATGTACCGTCATTTTTTGAAATGCAATACAAATAGTTGATTTGACACAGGTAACTTTCTAAAACAGACTCCTAATATAACTTTCTGATATAAATTCCATGTGAATTGTTGTTGCCGTATATTTCAACGTGATCTAAACTATATTTTTAGAAACTTAGTGCCGTCCACCTGCAATAATGCAATGAATGTTGATTCTTCCTTTTGTCGCTCTTTTCCTTCTGATATTCTGTATGCATGACATGCATGCTGTTTTCTTTCTGTCTCCTGAATGTTCAAATACACATCAACCTCTTTCTCTCTATCTTTCTTTCCTGCTTTTCTCTGCGTACTATTTCTATAGCAATAGTGGTCAGGTATATTCCAGTACGTTCTTCCTTGATCAATTGTTCTACAGAATCTTATTTTCTCAACGTTGCTCAAGTATATATAGCCATCCTTTCCGAATAAAGAGCACTGTAAAAAAAACGGTACTTTCTGGAACCTAAAAAAAAAGGTTCGGTAGATGACAAAAAGTTTGCAAATGTGTTGAAAGTTTCAAAAAACGAATAAAAAAACCCGGAACCTTTAAAGGATCTTACCGTGTACCCAAGTGATGATCCTTTTTTCTTCGAAATCTTTTTAAGTTCCGTACACCAAAAAAAGGTTTTGTAGGGAAGTACGAAACCTTTAGGGTTTCGTATTGAACCTCGAGATTTCGTACTGGGTTTCCTATAAAACTATTATACTAGATGCGAAACTTTAAAGGTTTCGTACTTT